TAGTCATGTTTTTTTCATTGTATGATTGCGACTTTTTCAATTTTATCTTCTAAAGGAAATCTTTTGAATGTCTTCGACATCTGCTGTAATAGCTGTCAAGGTCTCCAGTGATGCTTGTGAGAAGCATGCCTTCAGCCCTTCAAAAGTTTGTATCACAGACCCCATGACTATTGCTTTAGGTTTCTATGGCAACTAAGATGAACTATAAGTTGACTCATCTTTTTACAAGCATGAGTACAGGAGTGTGGAGAAAAAAACCCATTTTGGTCTGGAAATCATTAAAAAAAAAATAATCCAGTTTTCTTAAAACTGTGAAAAACGTCTGGAGATGGAATGGGATTCTTTCCACAATGTCTTTCCGTCTCTTTTCGAAATACAATCATGCATTTTTAGAATACAATGGGAAAGGGCTATTTGAGGCTGAGTTAAGAAGGATGTTTTTGCATTGTATTTTGACAAACAGTTCTAACTTTGTTATGTGCTTCTTGTCCTAGTGTTTCAAATACAGTAGAGAGGGTTTATCTACACTTGTTTTAATGTTGATATTTTTCATAGCTTGTTATGTACTCACAATATAAACAGGCAAATAAATCGGATGTATTATAATCGTAGCCCACACTGTGAGGACACTGTAAGGGATTTCAGGTAGGCCACTGATGAGACAACAGACGTGTTGAAGCAGGGGAGTTACTCGAGTCCATTCATAGACTTACAAATGCTGGATTAACTAGATGCAGCCATGGTAACATAAGGATGAGCAGAGCATTGAGTAGTTTCACAGAAGCACAGTGAGATGCTGTCTGCGAGCTTTGTGACGCAGAATCTAGTTTTGCGTATGCTTCAACTGTGTGACAGAGATAATGTCGTATTCTAAACTGATATAAATAACATTAGAAAAATATACTGCATCGGGCACTTTGACCAATTATGAATAACTGACCACATAAAGGGATCCTGCATATTGCATCGTCTAAACAGCTGCAGTTTCAGGCTCTGACCAGTTTTTTAATTTATCAGTATATGTTGAAGGTTAGATTCAACATATACTGTTTGCACAGCCAGTTTGCACAACTGGCTGTGCAAACAGTTGTGAAAATTTAAAGTGAGTTCTTGGCACGGATTCAAATATTGCAACTGTGCCCCTATATGGCAACAGGGTAATTTGTGCTTTGATTTAAAGAGAATAGTTAAAAAAAAAAATCTTAAATAAAGTTTCAAGAAGAATCCTGAAAAATGCTTGTGTGGACTCTCCAGCCACCAGACATACAGTATGTCATGGCTTTTTAATTTTAGATTTAAGAATAATCACATGTTGGAAAATTAGTTTCCTCTTTCAAATGGCACCAAACACTGCAATATCCATATTCCTCAAGAGACTGTTACTATGGTGATAGCGCACCAAAATGGTTGATGCAAATGACAATTTAGCTGTTGTTGTGTCAAGTACATGCACATGCACATATTACAACATACACATACGTATGACACACATTGTTGACATATTTGTGTCAGTCTCTAAAAGTGGAGATACATCACCTTTCATCTGAAGACATGTAAGACTTACCTGATCTCTGCCTTTTTTAAATAAACCTCCTCATGACCTTTGGTGAATAAATGCCTTTATTCACGCTGGGGTTATATTTATACTAAGTATTCTTTTTGCATTGAGTATTTGTCTTTGCCCATTAAAATTAAGGTTTGGCTTCTCAGGTTGATGTTTGGAACACAAATAGCCAACAGTGATGGGACTGACTCCCTCCTGCAGGGGTGGATTTGAGCAGGATTATAAATGTCCTACTCTTAAAATAATGACAGTGATATGAGAGATTCCAGGTTTTAGGCTTGTGATGCAGCACAGAGTTGTACTGCAAAAACAACCAGAGTTCTGGAGAGCCCTGCAATACCTGGAGTCAGAAACGAAAGTGAGAGAGTAGGTGGTTTTGTGGGTAGGTGGGGAAGAGGTTAAAGATGCTCCGCCGCTCTCTTTCCTGTTATCCCAATGGCCTTTTAGCGGCATTACTCATATTGGGAAAGAGACACTCCTGTTACATAAGCCAGTGCTACAGAAACTGCCTACCCACCAAAATCCCAAAAGATCCTCTCTCCACCTGTACATAATTGCAAAGTAGTGCCACTGGTCAGATGAGTTTTCTCTTAAAAGTGTTCAACTGCTGAACGCACAGAGTTCTGTATAAAAAGGTTTGTCAGGGAACTTCAGAGATTTTATGCCAATGTGATTTTGCAAGTTGCTTCCAAGATATCAAGACTAGTTAGAATAGCTTAGATATGGCATGAACAGGACAAGTCGGACAAGTTTGTTAAGAGACCCCCTTACATTCTGAGACTAGCTATAGGAGACGGCAATGACACCATGCTTTGAAACCCCCTAACAAGGCCCCATGCGACTAGCTTTCTGCCGACGCTTTGCCACTTCAGAGGTTTGGTTGAGGACAAGACTGTATAAATGCATGTGTATGATGAGTCTAAGATGGTGGTGGGGGTTGCACTTTACTACTTTATTGCTACTTATGTGTATTCTGTTATACTGTAAATACTGTTGTTTTGATGATGTGTTTAGTTACACGGGGCATCTATCTAATTAGGTACATTTTTGTGTCAAGTATCAGTTCTGATGAATGGATATAGTTCATGTAATATTAATCTGGTATTACTAACACTCCTGCCAATAATATTCAATGCTTTGAGAATCATTTTAATTTCCTCCCAAAAGACCCTGTTTTCAGTTCAAGCTCAAATCTGACAATCAGCTGCAAGAGACTTGAACTTGAGGCCAGAAACGACTTAAAAGAGATTTTTCATTAAAATGCATCACAAAGATCTCTAATCTGATTAAGTTTGCATTGTTGTTAAAGCAAGTGAATGATTTTGTTTAGTTCACTTTAGCTTTGTTTCAGTGGATCACTGTGGAATTGTTTGCCTCTCCGCGGCTTGGCATATCGAGCTATGTTTTTCTGCCTCCCTGCCCCTAGGGTCCAGCTACTAGTTAATAACACTGTTCATTTTTTGTGAATCAATTTAAAAGGTTTTGCATAAAAACCCAAGCTTTGTTGTAAGTTCATTAAAAACCCAGAGTATACCATCCTGCCTCACTCTAACTAAAGCTGCTTTCAGACATGCACTGAACTCCTCAGATGCTCCGTATTTTCTCCTGAGGAGCTGCTGTTCTGTGCATTGGTGAAAGACAGACTGTTGGTAAACTCCTCCTTTCCTCCTTTTTAAAACACATCACTGTTGTTTCAGTTAAGCCTGTCCTAGGAAACACTACATTATAGTATGGATCGGAAGAAACAGACATTTGGTTACAATGTCCCCGTCACCTGCATTATACTGACTGGCTCTCATCGTTCTTGACTTGACTATTAGCGGTGAAAACAAAATGTTGCTAACCTCTTCATCGCTGGTGTGTGCAAGCTAACAAGATAACACAGACATGCACAGGCCCAGTTTATTTGAATTTAAAATGCTACTTACATATTAATAGAAATGAGTTTGGAAATAGCCTGAGACAATTCACCGGACTGTTGCTGCATGGGGTGAGTTGAACCATTCATCGGCTCAATAAGCAACACAGGATTGGATAGGATAGGATAATTTAGGATCTATCAGCTATTTAGCAATTGTGGATTTTTTAATGTCTTTATCAGAAGGCCCCCCTGCATGCCGAGAGTCTAGCTCCGCCCCTGGGTCTTGTTGAATGACTGGCACCAACTTCCGGATGGACTTTATGAAGAAGAACCTTTTGCATCTTTTGACCCTGAAGTGTTTTATTGCAGGAGAGCTGACGTGCAGCCTCCAGCTGAGCCGCGTGACCATCTCAGTTGAAAAGTCCTAAAAATGGTGATACTTTATTAAAACCTTTGCTGCACTGATGCGCACACACAGACACACTCACACACATCATAGTGGTACTCGCGCGCACACCTCCCCTCCTTCCTGCATCATAGCCCGCTGTTACCATCACACGTTCACGTAATACTCCCGTGAACAAGCTGACTTGTTGGAAATGCTCGAGGATCTGGAAGCTCTCTGATTGCGCACTGGCTGCAGAATCTGTGGAATCGTCCAAAGAGAAGAAAAGTGAAGCAATCGGCACCAGGAGAATTCACCCAGAGACCAAGACCAGGAGGGTTTGGATTATTGATCATCTCCCCTTCTACTTCATTCAAGGTAAGTGAGCGCAGTCTTTCTGTAATCTTTGGCACTGACCGATGAAAACGCAAGAAGTGATGTATGTTGAGGAATGTTCTACGAGATTTATCCTCCACTGACTGTCCTCTCTGACCACCTGTCGTACTGACGACACACAGTTTGGTGCTTAAACTTTTTTTTAGCGACAATCAATTGTGATTCTCTGATAAGCTGGTGTAAGAAAACCTGCAGGATAGTTTCCATGCGTTCAGCTGCAACATCAGTCCAACCAGCGGTGATGCGCAAAAACTGTGCCACCCATTAAACAGCTGTGGAGCCGCCAGGTTTCTCTGTTTTACTCTTGCAGCTCATTATGAGGAGCTCGTTCAAGCTTTATCGTTCATACAGACTCATACAAACTGCGCTTCGGCTTTACATAAGCTCAGCTTGTTGCACTCAGACTGCAGCACTACTTGAGTTCACAGTCTCACAGTCTTGCGGTGTCCCTGCCTCCCTCCCTGTCACCCTCTGTCATGCTTTCACACCAAACGAGCTTGTGATCACAATACCCACTTAATCACTGACACTCCACTTCATACACCCCATCAGGAGGGCAGGGTGCCTGGACAGGGTGCCTGTCCGTCATGCAGACCTCCCAGGTGTGTGGACCTCCTTGTGAGAAACAGCAGTGTAGATTTCAGTTCAGCTGCGGTACAAATTCATTTGGATCAAATCACTTGCACATGTGCAGCCTCATATCATACATTAAAGCTGTGCACAAAAAGTTTGAGAACCACTGCTGCACAACCGAGCGATTTGACCCAGAAAACAAGGTGGTGCAATCTAAAGGGATCTTGTGTTGGAGAGGAAAACATTTTAGATAGATGTATGGCTTATTTACGAATGGCTGATATTTAGCAAATTAAAACTTATCCTAAGCTTTGTAATGAAAAATCATTGAACCCCTGATATGCTGCTGCATGAATCAGTGCTTTTCAAAAAAACTGCCTCACACCATCCTTTATTTATGACATTTTCTACAGCTGTATACTTCTGTTTCTCGTTGCCATCCCTAGATTTGTTCCCTTAAAACATTTTTGGTTCAAAATACTTATTGGAACCGCCAAGTGTTTTTTTAAGTAACGGGCTTTACACTGAATTGAATGTGTTACCTGTGGTTTCATGGGGCATTCAAGTGTGTTATTGAGGTCAGTTGTTATGAGATAAGTGGGAATCGCTGTATTCAGATGAAGATGGTAAAATACTACTAATAATTATCTTTCCATTTTTTCAATTTCATCAATGTTCTTGTCATTCGATCGAACTCAAATGGGGCGTTTATAAAAACTACACCTCTAGGCGTATTGAATTTGCAAAACAATTTGAATCCCACTGATAAATGCAGAAATCGCTGTCCCTCTGTGTCCTTCAGTTTTCTTAACAACCGCTCATTGACGTCAGACTTGGTGGGTGTGAGGACTCCAGGAAGTGCAGTGTTGTCTGTGAAGTTGTTTTGGATGGGGGGATGTTAGGACCCCAACCCGAACCATAAAATGATGTATTCTAGCCTGCTCTTGCTGTTGTCGCCAATTAGTTGAGACACATGAAACATAAACACATCTAATGTTGAACTCTTTATAGTAACTGTATAGATCATACAGTAACACCCTGTAATACAAATAATAGCAATAATATAGTAAACCTTTGAATTAAAATGCAGTGAACATGAATAAAATTAGGGGGAGAGGCAAGAAATGCTTTTAGTGTGTCCTTGTCGTGCTATCACACAACTTACCCCTTATTTTCTCTTTTCAGCGACACATTGTTTATTTGTCATGATTAGTTTGATTCATCCTCTGGTGCATGGTTTCTGTTTTGTAAACTCTTTGAAAATTCGAGATCAGCAAATGGAGCTCAGGTCACATGAAGCAGCAGTGGTCTTTGGCAGTGGTGTCGATGAGTGTGCAGAGAGCTATTCTGTACAGACAGTGCCGTGGTGCATGCTGTAGAACTTGGTAACCATGGCAACAAAACAACATCAGAAGAAACTGGTCAGATGAGCCTGTGACGCCTGGTGAAGAGATGAATGGTCGACTCAGTGCACACCAGAGCCAAGGACAAAAACGCCGACCAATTCATACTCTTCAGAATTGTCTCCACCTCTCTGGAGTGGACGAACAGGCACGTTTCTTTAGCTCCGTTAAATTCTGATTGATCGTCCTTGAATTCTGAAAGTGTAAAAGTGGTCGTTCTGCTCACCATCACCATTAACATTAAGATGTTAAATGAGGCATTACAGGATTCAAAATTTGGCTCAAACATCACCAGCACCATCTGCCCTCTCCAAGCCTTCTCCTTTGAAGAGACTCCACTGTGGCTGGATCCATGGCTCGCTGGCCTGCTGCCACCACCTGACATGGCTCTGACCAACAAAGCCGAATTCCAAAATAGCAACATAAAAAAATAAAATGCAGCATAAAATGCAGTACACAAATCTTAGTAGTAAAATAATTAAGAAAACCCCCCACAAAATGTGCTGTTTGTCCGCGGGATTACACAAATAGAACCCAATGAATTAGATGTTATAATTTATTTTCATGACTTTCCTTAACATGGTGAGATTATGAGCACTTTCTTAACATTCGGCTCTGGAAATAATGGATTAATGTTTTTTAAAATGTGGTGCAGATTAGCCAACCACATAGTTTTCCATTTTGTTATTGTATTCTAAGAGTTTAACAGACATGTTTGGCCTTGATTCTGGCTTTGAATGCAAACATTCCTCCTCGCAGGTTAGTCAGTGTAACTCTGCAACAGCTGGAACAATGTGTGAAGGTGCATCATCAATGTCTGAGACGGATTTGAACCCTGGTCCCTGTGGCAGTGTGCAGAGCGCAGACAGATCTTTTTCTTACTCTCAGAATAACAAAAACCTTTCTTTATTCATTAGCTTTTTTTTCATAAGCCCATAAAGTGAGTCATCGTTTAACAAATGAAATGTATATAAGATCTATTATTGCAGTTTTTAAGAAATCATGCAGTTGTGGATTTTTCCATTATGACTCAAGAGGTCTTGTGGGCTTTTATGGCTGCTGTAACTTAAAAACAAAAGAATCTAAATCAAAGAGGTTTTATAAGTAACCTACTTTGTGCTGCTAGAAAATTAAATGGACACAAATTTGAAATCTGTTGGTCAAATGCAACAGCTCTGCGTCTATCCACAATTTTGTCAGCGCTGCGACTGTCTGGTTTTGAAACCGCATCTACATTCCTATTAATGAAGAACACTTAATTCAGATATTTCAAAAGACGGAGATAAAAGAAGTCTGATTCAGCAATAGTCAAGTGCCTCCTATCTTTGTCTTCTTGTGGTGAAGGGGAACAGCCTTTTATCTCTGGGACTGCCTTGAAAAGGGGAAAAACAAGTGCTCAGAAAATTCTGTCTTACTTGTCACGCTTACTGTTTAGTGGTCGGAGCACTGTGAGCCAAGCTTTCCGAGAACAGGTTCAGGGATCTTTGATTCATCAGGAGGTTAAATAATCGCATTAAACGGTCTCTCGTCAGCCTCGACCCTTCAATCTGCTCAGCATGAGCAGGATTGTTTGTCTTTGTAAAGGCTGCTGATGGTGGTGCGGTTATTTCATAACAGAAGCTGAGGCCACCAAAGTGTTCCAAAGATTTCTATAAGAGAAAATGTTATTTGCTTGAGTCTCATGGTTATTTATCACTTGATAAATCTGAAGCTAGGTTTTCTAAATAACATGACAAATAGAAGACATTTGAGAAGGGTTTTTTCTAGGGCTGTGGCCAAAAATGATAGAAAAATAAAAATGTTTATGTTAGTCGATATCAATAATTATCATGATAACTGTCACATTGTCACTCCTTTTTAAATTAAAGACATATTTTTGCTCCCGAGTTTTTTTCCTTTATGAGCTCAGAATGAAAAAAAGCCCTATTAATTTCAGAAATCACATGATGAATCTGCTTGAATACACCTGAAAATATCTAGACAAGCCCAAAAGCAAGTGAGGAAAAATCTGTTAGTTCACTTGTGTCCATCATCTCTGTGCTTGATGGATTGAGGCATGTGTGCGGTTGCATGAATCCAGGTCAGAACCCAAATGCAGTAATGGTGAGTCTGGGTATGATTTTCCCGCAGGATTCATGCAGGGGATTAAGCTCATCATATACTCCACACTATTTGTTAACTCCTTTAAGACAAAGACAGTTCATGTATTTTCTGCGTTTTGATCAGGAAAACGGTGAAGTTAATTTATATAAATGTTCAGGCTGGAGCGCTGCAGTGAGAGATGAGATCTGTGGTTGTTTACTTTACAACATTCCCCGTCTCGTTTCAAAAACCCAGAGGAAGCATTTTACTTGTGCATACTTCTGGAAAAAAACGCAGCCCTGAGTGAAACCATCATCATCGTGGATGGACTCAAACAATAAAGAGCTGGTTGAATAGGAGAGGCTTGATCCCTTTGGCCAAATTAAGCTGACTTCAAAATGCACTTTCACAAAAAAAACTAATAAAGCAGGTCTAGTTAACAGTGAGAGTAGCAGGTGCTTTACTACACAAAATAATAGTGAGTTAGAAACACTGTAGATTTGTGCTTGCAGTGTCGTACAGTTTAGTTGTTATTAACATATTGGTGGCTCAGTTTAAACCAAAATTATAAAAACCCTTGTTCTGCAAAAGGATGTGAACTTTATGGGGGAAATTACTAATCAGATTATTTAAAGAATTAAATGCAAATTATGACACAATTTAATACATATATGTAACGGGATAAAATGACGAGGTGCTGACTCTGAAATAAAACTAAGATGAGATGCAAAGGTTGGAAAACTATAGGACTCACCTGGGTTCTTTTAATCCTCACTATTCTTTTATAAATTGCATATTTATAATAAGGGAAATGCAGCACATTACTATTTTCATTTGATAAGATCCATGAAATCAGTGTCAATAAAGAGGCTAAAACAAGGGAACATCAGTGGACTCTTTATATTAATGATAAACCAACCAATTTACATAATGTAATATTTTCTCATATCAGCTACACAGATCTGTGGAGGCTGGATCACAGAGTAATGAGTCCCTTTGTGGACGGTAGCAAACAGCCGGCTGTCTTTAGCCCTCTTTTGATGCTGTTTCAAAATCATATAGAGAAAGATAGCACCTTCATCAACCACGTTCTTCATATTAAATGTGTGATATTTATAATTCTTCGCTGTGTTACAGATTTTTACTTAGTGCTCTTATCTGGGAGAAATGTCTTCCTCTGAAAGGGTCTTGACTGAAGACTCCAGACATCACCTCCGTCAGAATTTCTCTACTCCCACTCTTCTGTGCTGGCTGCCATTTTTACTGAGAAGCCTGCCAAAAAAACCTGAGTCTGTTTTCCATTCAAGCCTCACATGTCACCAGTAACAAACATTAGCTGCTATGACGGACTTGTGTAGTAATATTTAGCACAGCTGTATTTAAAGTACTATATAGTTATGTAAGCAGGTCATTTCAGTGTGGTTGATTGCAGAAGGGTCTACTGTTGTAGGTAGCTGCTTAAAACTTGTCAGTTTAAAGCAACACCAAGACGCTTGCCACCCAGACCAACATGATATAACAAATTACCAAGTGTTAGATAAGCCTGTGTCCATGTTCTCTAGTTTGCATGGTGACAAAAATCATCAGGATTTTGTAGCCAGGCTGAGAAATTGGTTTTGAAATGTGTTAAAAGATTTCATGTGGGTGAAATGATTTTATTGAGCTTTTTGTTGTGAACTGAGAAGTGTGTGCAGTGATGTATTTTGCAGTTGAGGTTATGTATTGTCACTTGTGTTGCATTGGTCAGCAGAGTGACTGGTCATGTTTGATGATTTAGGCCATTCAGTTTGGGCAGTATGATGATTTACAATACATTAAAAGATTATGTGGATTTTTAATTATAATAATAATAATAATAATGTTCCACAGTGTCATTGCCATTACTTCAAAATAATCTTGCATTTGAAGTCACGGCTCGATGCAACTGTTCCAATTGATAAAAGATCTGTTGTCTCTTAAGACGCCTTTAAAAAAACAACTAAAACTCAATCCTGAAACAATCATAAACAGGCCTTTGTCTGGTTTTCTCCCGTTTAGTTTTTCAAATGTGTGTTTGTGTTTTATCGTCTGGTTCCTTTATTGTTTAATTTGAACAATTATACTTTTGTGAAGCACTTTGTGTCTTCGCTCTGTGAAAGCTGCCATCTTAAATCAAATGTATTTACTAACTTACATTGGTAATTGCTATACTTGTTCACAAGTTGTTTGTTTGTTGTCATATTTGTTACTATGGTTGCTGATTCCATCCTCAAACATTTCCCTACCATACCCACAGCATCAGCATCTTGCTATGATTTGAATGTGATCTACAGGCCTGCACCTCTTTGTTGGTGAATGCATTATAACAGCTGTTAATTCCAGCTTTATCTTTAACCAACTTGCTTGCAGAAATTTAAACACCAAATCTTTTACATCTGTTCCTCCGGATTTGGCGAGATACTAGCTTTCTTAACTTCTAAGAGTTTTTCCAAACATACAAAAAAGAGAGAGAAAAATGTTACCGCTGCAGTAACAGGGTCAAGTCCATCGGAATATTCTTTCCTGTAAAATGCAGATAGATGATGAATAATGCTGCTCCTGCTGCAGCAGCAGCACAGAGCTGACTCACTGCAGAGTGGAGAGAAACAAGCCTGACACTCTGACTGAGCTCACTGAAGAAAATTATGTTAATGTCAAATCTCAATGTTACATTGTGTTGATCTTGTGCTGATTTAAAATAATTAGCTCAGTTATTCTTACATGTTTTCAGAGACATGACCAAAAAATTGTCGGAAGTGTCGAAAATGGTTAATTAGCAATACATTTACAGTCACATTGTTTTATGTTTCAAGTTCAAGTTTATTAATGTCATTACAGCCTTATCTGTCAAACATACAGTGAAACTAAATTGTAGTTCTGTGCACATACACTTAAAAGGCAATTATTCATTATTGAGAATACAGATCCTTGTAGAAATGCTTGTACTCAAATCAACTCAAATGTAACATGTTGTATATTGTTGACAGGTTGTGTTGTGGCAGGACATTCCTATAGGGCAGGAGCTGACATGCCATTTGGTTGTCTGACACTTGGGGAGAAGAAGGATTACAACAATCCCTCAGAGGTGACCGACAAATATGACCTCGGACAAATTGTTAAATCGTGAGTACATCTGATGTTTTTTGTTATAATAAGCCCATAAATGCTTGTGAGAAAATTAGTCCTAAAGGGTGATGCATGTTCTCTCCTCTGTCTCTTTCACAGAGAGGAGTTTTGTGAGATATTCCGAGCCAAGGATAGGAACACCTTGAAAATGTACACCTGTAAAAAGTTCCACAAGAAGGACGGACGGAAAGTGAGGAAGGCTGCCAAGAATGAGATAATGATCTTGAAGATGTGAGTGAAGTTTTAATCTCCTCATTATAGATCTTTTATGTTGGAGGAACACTCCTGGAGCTTGAAAGTTTCATCTCAATTCATCAGCAAAATTCTTTCTTAAGTTCAAAAACCAACACCGTGAGATTTTGGTTTTGTACATTACAACAGTAATACAACAGCAGTAGACACAGAACAGTTGTAGTTATTTCTCTGTGCTACAGAGATCCTCTGTGTTGGAACCGCATGTTCATATATTAAATGAGCCATAGTTTTTTTTTTTTAAGTAAATCCCAGATACACATAAATACGATTAGGACACAAAATCCGCAGCTGGAAAATCCTGCCTGTTTAAAAAAATGGTTTGAGGCCAAGTGAGGCTGAGGAAATCTGAAAATCTCAAATTATTTGTTGTCTCTCAAATATATAGAATATCTTTAGCTTTACCTTTTACAAGTACAACAACAAGGTATGTCTTGCACTTTAATCACATTTGTAGAACCACTAGTAAATATAACGACAACACCTGCATTCTGTTGATGATAACAATAATATTAACCACCATATTTGATAAAAATTAATAAATCTTAACGTTATGTCCTCCTTTTATTCCATTTCCTCTTTATCTGTTTTAAAGGGTAAAGCATCATAACATCCTCCAGCTGGTTGACACGTTTGAAACTAAGAAAGAGTACTTCCTTTTTCTGGAACTGTGAGTATTATGCAAGCCACTTGAGAGAACTGCTGTATCATCTGGTCATCAACTCATTGTGTTCAACATATACAATTGTTATACATTTCTATCCTCGACAATATACGTGTGTTTTAATTTGGTCGTCCCGTCTGTTCAGCGCCACAGGCAGAGAGGTCTTTGACTGGATCTTAGATCAAGGCTACTACTCGGAGAGGGACACCAGCAATGTTATGAGGCAGGTGTTGGAAGCTGTAGCTTACCTGCACTCTCAGAAAATTGTCCACAGAAATCTGAAGGTATATTACAATGCTGACACCTAGTGCAAACCAGCAGCATTTCACCAAGCTGCCCTCTGCAAATTACAAAATCATGTGGATCACATACTTTTCAGTTTTACAGCCCGCACCTTTATTTGTTTGCTCATGCAGTTGGAGAACCTGGTGTACTTTAATCGTTTGAAGCACTCCAAAATTGTTATCAGTGACTTTCAGTTGGCAAAACTGGAAAATGGACTCATTAAGGACCCGTGTGGGACTCCAGAATATCTTGGTAAGGAGCATAACACCTAAATGTACCGTAATTTAAATATTTTTTAGATACGTTGATTTGTAGGAACACAGTAGGAACAGATCCTACAGTGATAGTCTGGATCTTCGGCTCATCATCAGGAAACATTAAGCTTGTTTCTGCTCTCAGCTCCTGAGGTGGTTGGGAGGCAGAGGTACGGGAGACCTGTTGACTGTTGGGCCATTGGTGTCATCATGTACATACTGTAAGTGCCCAGTCATTTGATCACACATATATATATATTTTTTTTATTACTTATGTTGTTCATTTATATTATATTATTATTTATTTACGTGGGAGCTTATTAAGAAAACATGCCATGTGTTATTCTGTTTTTATTTCGCTGACTCAATAGTTTGTCTGGAAACCCTCCTTTCTACGACGACGCTGAAGAAGACGACTCTGACAATCGGGATAAGAACCTTTTCCTAAAGATTTTGTCAGGAGACTATGAGTTTGATTCACCATACTGGGATGACATCTCAGATTCTGGTGAAAAAATCAATCGATTATATAAAATGTGCCATGTATGGATGTAACGATTTCACAAATGTCACAGATAATTTAATCAAGATCTTGTGTTTGTTCAACAGCCAAAACCTTAGTGGCATCCTTGATGGAAGTTGACCAAGATCAGCGATTGACTGCACAGGAAGCTATTGCCCATGAATGGTACAATAAAAATAATAATATTACAGTTTATCAAATATAAATCCTCCAACTAACACAGCTAGAGATATGAAGGTTGCTGTGCATGTACCACAAATCTAATTATGTGTTGGGGATAATGTTCTCTTGTTCCGTCTCGTAGGATTTCTGGAAATGCCGCCTCAGATAAGAACATTAAGGACGGTGTTTGTGCACAAATAGAAAAGAACTTTGCTAAAGCCAAGTGGAAGGTATTCTTCATCTATCTTATATATCAATACAATGTTTTGATCAATATTTGATAAGTGTATTTAACAAAATGATGATGTTTCCTACATGACCATATTCTATACGCTGATAATACAAGTTAGTATTTCTTTCATTCCACCATTTTGACTAAACGAATATTATTACACACTTCATTCACTGCAACTAGACAACTTCTGTCAAGTGCAGTAGCAACTTTCTTTTGTGTCTTCCCTCCGACACAATCATCTTCACATAAATTGTCAAAAAAATGTTCATATATCGCTGCACTCACTCTGATTCTAGTTAATTACTGTTTGAAACCATTTACAACATTTGATTGATATTGTTTATTTGCTATGAGTGTACTTCTCCATTTCAGAATAATTGTACGCTTGGTCACGTTTCACTGTTAGACTAGATTAGTAAACGTTGCTATATGTTATTATTTAATTTGAACTAACCTTGTTTTTTTAAATATTCTTATTCACAGAAAGCTGTCAGAGTGACCACCCTCATGAAGAGGCTCAGAGCTTCTGAGCAGGGTGAATCTGGGGCCTCCGGTCTCGCTGAGGGGGCTGCCGCTGACCCCAACGCACCCAGTGGCACTGCTCCCGCTCTTCCGGCGGGTAATAGCGTCGCTGCCAGCATAAAGGCCGCTCTTAGCGAAAAGGCTCCCGACACACAGACTGCCACCATCACCCAGCCCAGTGCAGCCAGACAGGAGGAGCAGACAGGGTGCAACGGCGACATCCCTCAAATGTTGCCACAGAGGAAGGGAGATTAGTTTAATAAATGAAGAGGACCCTTGCAAACCAACAAGCACATGTGCAGTACAGCCAATCAATTTGGCCTGTGATGATACCATGTCTATGATGTTTGACTATCCTGTTTGCTGAATTATGTCACAACGCCATCTTTTTTGCCTTCTGTACTGATTGGTCTATTGAATAGTGTTCTCCATGCTCCCTTGTTATTTTATGTACAAGTCCCTTTAAAGCTAGTTGCAAAGTAGCTCTTCTGTTGTTTCCTTTCTCCTTAATAACTGTAGAATCTCAGTGTTATTTAGTGAAACCTTCATCTTTAGTCATCAGCTCATTGTATATAGATGTATTTTGTCTGTTAAAACAAATTGCTAGTTTTCAGCCGCAGAAATTACAATCCTGAGTTCAAGTCTTGTGACTTAAAATTTTGAGTTGAAAGATTTAGCGTATTGATCAAATCAAGGTTTATTTCAAGAAATAAAATTAATTTACAAGGAATATTCATGCTAATATATTTGAGTTGACTCTTCATTCCTCAAACATGTAACAGGAAATGTGTCATATATTAGTTGAATGGATCAAAAAACAATTTGTTGAGTTGATTTAAAAATAGAAATAAAGTGATTTAGTTATTCTGAAAACTTCAAAATGGTAAGACACTTGTATGATTCTTGTATGACACTTTGAGGACGGTCCCTAAAATGTTGTTATGGTGAAATACTAAGAGAGAATCAGTAACAGCTCACCATTTGTGGCTTTAGCTAACATCCTAAGTAGAAATCTTCTGGTTTATCTCCGACTTTAGACAACTTAGAATTTTAAGGCAGCAAGTATATTTAAGTTAAAGTGCCTTAATATTTGTTGTAGTAATGTTGCTGAAATGTTTCAAAAGAAACAATTGGATTAGAAATGCTTACTGACTTCTTTGAAATGTTTTAGCTGTTTTCTTTGCTCCTCTGTTTAGTCTTACGCTGCTGTACTTGTGTTCTGTCCACTTCATTTAAAACACAGAAAACTAGGTTTAGAGCATCTTATGTGGAGTGGTGTTTAAGCTGTTGTTGTGTTGTCCCTTGTAATTAATAAATTCAGAGTTTATAGCTGAGTCCATATACCGCTATGTATATTTGCAATGTATACATGTGTATTTTTTTATTTACATATGTATTTAGCAACATTTAGCTGAGCTAACGGGTTGCTGCAACGCTTGTGAATGAATAAAATGAGCAATACTAATGTTGCTGAAACTCAAGTTGTCCCTCTCTGAGTGTTTTAATATTTTTTTGCTACAGTGTTTTTATTGGTGATAGATGCTTCAATGTGATATTTTAGAGGTAAGTCAAACCAACTTTGTAATTCAGGAGTCGGTACTTGTGTGAAAATGGTCAAGAGAGCACCAGGTGTCCGACAAGCAAAGCAATGGAGCAGGGCACAGCAGACCGTAAGCACAGCAAACAGGCGACAAATGATCTACAACAGAAAAGACAAGCGGCCTGAAGAACAGATGCTAAGGCCATCACAGACAAAGAAAGCTGATTATAAAATATTTTTTTGCTACAGCATCAAGGGATTTAAATTATTCTGTTTTTTTCCAGATAAATGATAATAACACATTGGTAAATTAAATAACAGAGTAACTGTTTTTTGATCCAAAATGTGTCTGCCTTTTAATAATGAGCATTAAAGTATCAAATTGACCGGTTTAATGAAATGTCAAATTAACATTGTATTGTTATTATTATTAGAATTTTAAATGAGATAACATTGCAGGAGCAGAGGGGTGAGGTCCAATGGATGTTTTTTTTTTTTTAAGAAGGGTGAAGCGTTTGAGTCCACAAAACACTTTTGGGGTTTCAGGGGTCAAAAGCATTGCAGTCAGATCCAGTACAATGGAAGGAGGATACCAGAGACATTTAAGCCAAAAACGTGGTGTGAATGATCTTGTTTCCAGTCGATGTTTTTGTACGTTTGAAGAAGTGGTCACCATTTACTTCAATTGTATTGGATTTAGCTGCAACACTTCACGTACATTTTCATTTCTGAGTGAACTATCCCTTTAACCCTGGATGTGATGTTTAATGGCCGCTGGGTGGCAGCAGTTGGCCCGACAGCGCCACGCGATGCAGGAGAAGAAGAAGGTTCGTCTCCACTGCAGCAGCCCGAGAAGAAGAAGAAGATCCGTCTCCATTTTTCATCGGCTTGTTGGATCTATCGACGACCTGCTCGTCAAAAACATTGATACCGAGCTCGAGAAACAAGTAAGTTACGTCCCATGAGATACAACACACGGTGAAATATACTCATTATGTTGTTCTATTCTAATTCCTCCGTTTCAAGACTGCGTACGTAAACCGGCTTTAACGTCGTTAGCTAAGGAGCGTTAGCTCCTCTACGGTCATCCTCTGAATGGTGTCGTTTGTTGCAATGATTTTATCCAGCTCGATAATTTAACCTTTCACAAAACCACCGCTGTAAAGCCTCTGTTAATCTGAAGTGGTTCGCTTGTGTTTGTGCAGATGATCTGTATCCTGCAGTTATTTATTTCTGTTGTGGCGTACATCCTTCAGGCCTAGTGATGGTCACAATCAACGGTATGCAGCGTTAGCGATCACCTCGCCCAGCGTCACCTCCCCCACCTGTCCAATAGGAAATGATGATGAGTGATGAACCTTAAATCAGTTTTAATGGCCAATGCACACTTAGATGTCTTTTAGCTCTGGTTTAGGGTCGTTCTTTCAACGCCCTTCTCCCAGCAGTTGTCCTGTATCGCTCGCAGCCACTGCTTGGTCAAAAGTGGTTGAATTCGCCAAACCTAATAAAATGATCTCTTGTCTTTTTATTTTTGTCACCAGATAGAATATCGACTGCAACCATGTGGGATGGACCAGGGCCCAGGCAAGGACCACGGGGAGGAACACCCTTTCGGTAAAGAATCACTATTTAGTCATTGGCATAGCTACTACTGCAATTTTGCACGCTTGCCTCTTATTTTGTCATCTCTTGTATTTGGTCTCTTGTTCTAAACTCTATGTGCAATGTCCTTGACATGCTGATGTACCACAATCATTTCCCAATTTGGAATCAGTAAAGTAAATCTATATCTATTACACACTTAGATTTTGGAAGGAGGGAAATATGATCTCTTCAGGTACAAGAGACCATGTGTTTGTGCCTGTGCTGTTCGCTAGGGGTGGGCAATATGGTTCAAATGTGGTATCGTCTCATATGTTGTTCGGTAATGTCAATATAATTGCTAGAGCCAGGTCCTGCATTTTGTGGAACCCCTGCTTTGTTACCTTTTTAAACCATGTATTCCTACGTTTACCTTTATCTGTGTTCACACTAGGCTCAGTGATAAAAAATTTCAATAATTATTGCAATGTAAATTTCATCCATAGAAATATAAGGTCAAAAAATTTCACGTGAGACAAATTTCTGTTTGTCACCATACTGCCCACTCCTTGTAGACTATGTACTGTATGTATATACCACTCTATATGGTGATTGGTTGAGGCATTTTGTATCACAACAGTTTACCCTCTGTATTATTTAGTTTTAAGGAATTCTGGTTATGTGCATGCCAAACTTATCAGTAGCCTAACATATTCATATGTGTTCCAGTGGCGATCACCGTGGAGAAGCATTTGGGGGCAGAGATCGTCCCATGCCTGATTTTAGAGGTAGAGATGGGATGAATATGGGTCCCATGGGTCATATGGGCCCAAGACCTCTTGATCTACCATCTATGGACATGAGGAGGATGGATGCACCACCTATGAGGGGCCGTGATATGGATCCACGTGATATGCAAGGTAGAGAACCTAACAGGAATTTCTTCAGACCTGAAGATGAACCAGATTTCAACCTCAGAAGGAATTATGAAGGTTCCATCAGAGAAAAACTGATAAATTCCTCAGGGTTACCTGGACCAGGCAGGAACTCAGCAGACATGGATGGAAGGGGTATGTCACCACGGGATCCAAACAGTAAATTTATGGACATGAGAGACAGAGAGTCGTTTCATTACAACATGCCACATTTCAATAATCCCAATATTGATGGTAGAAGAGGGTTTCCTATGGACCGATCAGAGCGAAATGATGGATTTAGGGACATGCGTGACCGGCCCCCAATGGGCCCTGGTGACAGTGATCGTTTTGATATGGACTTACCTCCACGTGAAAGGAGAATGATGGACTCCGACAGAAGAGGAGGGCCACCTTTCAATCCAAGAGGCGGATTTGATTCTGATATGGATTTCAGAAATCGTCCTGGACCTTCATCTGAATTTAGAGGTAGAGATCGATCACCCTTAAGCTTTGGAAACAATGATGTCCCCCCAGTGGACAGGGCGAGGTCAGATATGCCTTCAGACATGTCTGGCCCTCAAAGATCACAGTTTTTGGGTGGGGGAGACACTCGAAGAGAGAGAGACTTTCCAGACTCAAGTGGCAGTCCCCTCATGGATTATCGTAGTGGTGAAGAGATGACTCTTGCGGAAGAATGGAAGCGCCGCCAAAATGACAAAAACACTTTCGTAGCCACAGGTAAAGGTAGAGGAGATTTATCTGAACCCAGCTTCCCTGTAGGTTTCGGCAGAGATGCTCCTGTTAGGGATTCACAACAGTTTCAGGAAAGGGATCGGCCATCTGTTGAATTCCAGAGGAAAGATGTTGGCTTTCCTCGTGGTGACCACTTTCCTGCTGTTGACCTACCACCAATTGGCAGGAAAGGTCCACAAGACAGTCAACCTCCAGAAATAAGTCTGTTTACTGGCTCTCTTGGAAGAGAAAAGGAAAGTAAACATTGGCTTGGAGAAAGGGAATCAAATCGCACTCGGGATAAATCACATCGACATGAAAGACCCCCTTACCATCAAGACAAGAATCTGCCCACACATGAGAACCAGGAGCCAAATGATTCTTTTAAAGGGATGAAAGAAAATCAAGGTCCTGTGAGGAGTGAGGTGGAACTGGAACATAATTTCCAAAGCAGCAGCATTGTACAGGTCAGAGATCAAGACTACAGGGATATTGATTACAGAACAGGGTCCGGGAGACCTTTTGATTTCAAAGTTGAGGAGCTTCCACCGCCAGAGAAACTCATCAACGAGTCTAAACCAATTGTACCTACAAAGTTTAATGAGTCTGTTTCTCAGGTTAGTGCATTTCCTCCCTTGCTAGTACAGTATTTGTATTTATTTGCTTTTTATTATAATTCTGATGTTTTGTAACCACAATTTTTAATCTAAATGCCTGTAAAAGGATCAGGATTACAGGAGTGCATCCGTGGAGGACAAAGTTTCCAATACAATATCTGTAATTGGTATTCCAAAGACTGCCACAATGGAGCAGGTAATAATCAAACAGAAAAACAACTTTGTGTTAATTACCAGACTGTTGGTAGTTGTCATAGACAATCACAACTCGCTCAGTTCAATATATTGTGTTTTTGCAGATTCTAGGTGCTTTCGCGATCCGTGATGGTGTTCCAATGCAGGGGATGAAAATCAAAAATGTGGTGCCGGGTAAGAATTACGTTTCTTTTTGGAATTGTTTGGGTCATTCGATCGCTAACATGTTCCTCGACATTTCGCTCTTAACGACATTTGAACGTCCGCATTCTTTTCTTTTTTACGATCATGGTTGCTGTTGTTGCTGGTCTGTGTGAACTTGCTCATAAAGATGGGGGGGGTCTCTGTTATACCATCCTTTTTTCAAGTCGGAAGATGTGGGGTCATTGTCAGTTGTAAGTAAAGGAGTTACCAAGGATTCAACATTAGGAGCTTTGGATAGCTGCAGTCACAAAAGGTCTGGGAGAAGTGACTCATTGAAAGTGTCCTTCAGGACAGTTTATCTTATTTCTTAATTTGAAAAAAGATCAAGTCAACAAACCTAAAAAGAAAACTTGTTAGTGCTTTGTTCATCCTGCTGATCTAAACATCTGGATTAGGGAAAGTTTTCCTCAATGGATTGCTGTAAAAGTGGTTTTATATGATGCAAAGCCTTTTTGT